ATCGCCGGGTGGGGCCCCCGCTTGCAGGCGGCCCTCGGCCGTCCGGCGCCTGTGAGGAGAGGCCCCTCCCTCTGCCGGGCTCGCGGCCGCCTCCAGCAGGGGGCGGAGCTAGGTGGCGGCGCAACGGGCACCCCCTCGTGCTGGCGGCTGCCGACGTCCCCTTCCCGGTTCCCTGTGCTGGTCGCCAGCTAAGACGTGAGGAGAAAAAGTGGGGAAACGGAGGCACGCCGTGGCCTGCCCCAGTGGAACTCACAGATAGCTGGGGGAAGAACCACTGTGTTAAATGAGATCACAGTTTGGAGGGACCCTTGTGTGGTTTCCCTGGGGAAGGGGACTCTAGAGCCGAAAGGGGAAACGCAAACAGTGTCCCAGAAGTTAGGGTGCACAGAGCTGTGACAGGGAAATCGGGTCCGTAAGAGCATGGGACAAATAACTAAGTCTACAAAGTTGAAATCTTAGACCTCAAGGTGCATAACTAAATGACCATCCTTATAAAAAAAAAAAAAAAAGGACCAACACTTTGGAAAGTTTTACCAGCGAAACTTCTTTTTGGGGGGGTGGGGAGTTACCTTTGGCTTTAAACCTAAAGTCACTAACTCATTTTAATTCTCTTACAGTTTCGTTATGAGTTGCTAAAATCATGGTGAAATGTTGCTCGGCCATTGGATGTGCTTCTCGCTGTTTGCCAAATTCCAAGTTAAAAGGACTGACATTTCATGTGTAAGACTTCGCTGTTACTGAAATGAGAGATTCTACCTAAGTCTGCAGTCTCAAGCTCAGTTCCCCAGTCCTTTAAAGTAGCCTTGTTAAATCTGAAGTGGCGACGGCGCCTTCACGCCTTTATAATGTGCAGGGTATAAGGTGCCAAGGAATCAAAGATTAACACCACCATCAAGAATAAAATCCCACACACACAAATCGTTAGACTCGCCTTTGCTAATGTTTGCATTTTAACTGTTGGGCTCCCTATTGTTTACATGTCATTTACAGTCTAAAGGGGGATCTTCGTTAAAATACACCTCCCTTCTAGTTAGAAACAAATGAGGCTTAAATTGTTCACTGTAAATTACAAGTTCAGATTAAAGATAGTTTAGCCTCATTGCAGATAAAGCATGGGGATTCTAATTTAGTGTTCTGGCCATTCCTATTACACCCATGGAAATATCTAATATTATAAACGTGCTAAGGATTTTGCAGCTTTTGTGTGAAGCGCTTGACTTTATTAGGGAAAGATCTAGTTACTTTACTAGCCATGGAAATAAAAAGTATGTCTACACTACCTTATCCAAAAAAATTGTACTGGTTTATAAATTTTGAAAATTTTGATTATTGACACCCATATCGCCCAAGACAATTCTGTCTTGAGAATTGTAGACCCCGCAGCTATTCTCCGCACACTTTTCGTAAAGCATTTGTAGACCTGCTATGTATTAGCTGCTATTTCGAGTAATTTTTGAATAATGTCAGAAGTGAAAGTACAAGAGGCCCTCTCATTCAGGGTAAATTCTGGATGTCGCCTCAGAAAGGCAAAGGCCAGTGATATACTTTAACATCTGTAGATAAGGGAAAACCATGGATTGCAGATCTTGCTACAAGGTGCTAAAGGTCCATCGAAAAGTCCAGATGGTGTGATTAAAAGTTAACTAGAGGGCATATATCTGAAGAAGAGTTGGCAAAAACATCTGGATATTAAAACTGAGTTGTGAGACCAGCAGGGTATCTTAGTGGGCAAAGGCAGTTGTCACCAAGCCTAATGACCTAAGTTCAACACCCAGGACTAACATTATAGGAAGAGAGAAAGAACTCCCACAAATTGTACAAATTGCCCTCTAATCTATACTGTGCATACCATGGGATGCGTGTGCGCACACGTGCATGTAAATAAAATTGTAATTTTTAAAAATTAATTTGTTACATAAGCAAGAATCATGATTTCTTAAATGTTTCAATCCAAATATATATCAGTAGTATTTAATTTTAATTTTTTCTAGATTCCCCACAGATGAAAACATCAAGCGAAAATGGGTGTTGGCAATGAAAAGACTAGATGTGAATGCTGCAGGCATCTGGGAGCCAAAGAAAGGAGACGTGCTGTGCTCGAGGCACTTCAAGAAGACAGACTTTGACAGAAGCACTCCGAACACTAAGCTGAAGCCAGGAGTTGTCCCTTCTGTCTTTGAGTCCCCAGATCACTTGCAGGTTTGTTTAGGAACTACTGCTCGCTCTGAGTGCTCACTCCCTGTGACGGTTCTGAAGACACTTCAGCACTCATGGGTCTGTCAGCGCAACTTTCTTCAACTGAAGTGCATTCTGGGAGTTCCATGGACTGTAGCTTCAGCTTTTCATGATGCCTGGCAGATGATATAGCCAGCAGCCACCCGTAAACACTGGTACATGGGTAGGGTTCAGATAAGTGAACTGATGGAAAGAATTGTCTTAACTCAGAACCAGCTTCTTAAAAACGGAGAAGGTTGAACTGAGGTTTCAGATTGGTTGTACTTAAGAACTCAAGAGCATGTGGGGCATGTGCTTTACTCCCAGCCCTCATGAGACAGAGGCAGAAGCATCTCTGTGAGTCTGAGGCCCTCCTGGGCCACAGAGCAAATTCCAGAACAGCCAGGGCTACAGAGAAACCTTGCCTCAAAAATCCAAAACAAAAAAAGAAAGAAAAAGAAAACTCAAGAGCAAACTGCAAATTGGACCAAAGTGGTTCCAAGTGAAGTCACAGATATAAAATTTAAAACTTAGATATGAACAAAAGTCAAAAAAGCAGAAAAAAGAATAAGTGAAAAAGACAGAGATGAGGTTACGAAAGAAAAAAGGGTTGCGAAGTAAACCTAGTTGAATTCTATTCTTTTCCAGTAGCAGTGCTGAGAGTTGGTCACTTTGCCCTTGATGGCTGTCTTTTCTTCAAGAAGAGTCAGGAACTGTGATTATCTCTGTAGCTCACTTCCTCTGGTCCTGTCTTCTTTTTCTCAACTGGTGGGGAGTATCCTCTTTCATTTTTAGGGAAATTTTATGTTAATAGATGAACCCTAGAGGTGCTTTAGGGATGCTCTTTGAAAGTAAACAGAATGAAACACACTGACTTCCTTCCAGAATAGTATCTGCCAGCAGTACAGTGTTTCACTACATACTTCTCTTCACTTTGAAAGTCAGGAAGGAATCAAACTGTAAGAACAGATACAGTATCACAATGGTTTTCATTAACTGTTCCTAACAGGAGAAGAAAGAAAAACTTCACTGTAGGAAAAACTTCATTCTCAAAACCCTTCCCGTCACTAACCGCGGTCACCAGCTTGTGGGTGCCTCATGCATTGAAGAATTCCAATCCCAGTTCATTTTTGTAAGTAAAATTTTTTGCTGAGCTAATTGCTGAGTTAATTGTTTTAAGGTGAATGTGGTCTCCACTAGGATCAAATATGTCAGAGTTATAGCAAAACAGAATCTAGACTTGTTGGGGAGGGGTCTTTAATATGTTATGTTTCCAAACACACTTGTTCTCAGGATCGTTGTGATCGGAATGTATGCAGAAGCAGTACGGAAACAGTTACTCTTCTGGTTACTGAGTTTGAAGCATGCCTTTACAAGGATGAGTCTGCCGATAAAATAACTCCTCCCATTAAGTAGTATATTTTCTTCGTGGAAATATGTAATTAGAAATAGCTGTACCTTTCGGTTCGTTGAAAAAGTCACAGAACACAGAGTGCTCAGGCTTGTGTGTACTTATTCACAGATTGCTTGTTCATGTAAATGCTGGGTATTAAATACAAATTGTCTTACACAGCTTTACCGTTTAAGATCAGGCACTGTTAGTCTGCTTTCCTTTTTATTTATCAAAGTTGTTTTGGCCATTATCGATTCTTTGCATTTTTATATGAATTTAAAATCAACTTGGTAAAATTTTACCAAAACCCATGATGGAATTTTCACTGGTCTGCTGATGCCTCTGTAGATCCTACGGAGAGAAGCGAGAGCTGGGGATCTTAAGGAGTCTTTCGGCACTGGAACTTGAGTGCCCCCTTGATTCGCCCTTTACCTTCTCAGCACTGCTCGAGAGCACTCAGCACACAGGTGTTCTGCTTTGGCAGATCTGACCCTTAGTATTTCCTGTTTGCTTGCTGCTCTAAATGCTACCGTTGTGTTTGCTCCTAGAAGATGGAAATATAATTTATGTTGATCTTATATCTGACAAACGTGCTGAACTCAGATATTAAGTACAGTAGAGTTTTTCTTAAGGCCATCAGATTTTCTGCATAGATCATCATGTTCTCTATAATTAAGGACAGTTTTAATTCTTCCTTCGTCCTATAAATGTGTTTGTTGCTTTTTTTTTTTTTTTTTTTTTTTTTTTTTTTTTTTTTTTTTTGCTTTGCTGAACTGCTTGAGACTCCAGGACTGAGATGAGAAATGTTGAGAGCCAGTGTTCAGGCAATTCCATCTCCTAACATGATTTTTCTTTTTTAAGTTAATTTGGTAAGTTATGTCAGCTGACTTCTCAAGGGCTTAACTAACCTTTTACTCCGGGATGACCCTTGCTCCATAATGTATCATTGTTTTTATGTATGTTGTGTACACTTGGGGGTTTTTTAGTTTAATCTTTCCTTGAGTGTTTAAGAGGGATATTTAATGCATAGGGCTCCCCTCCTTCTCTTCTCTAATGTTTTATTTGTCTGAATTCAAGATCAGATTAGTATTAACCTTTCAAAACAGTGAGAAAATCTTGGCAACTTTTCAAGTTTTTAGAAAAAGATTTTGTAGAATGATAATTTTTTTATAAATGTTTGATAGATTTGTCTAGTGAAGCACTGTGGAGTTAGGGGTTGTTGTTGTTTGCTTGTTGAAAGAAACACTAGCTTCTGTCTTCCAGAGTTTTGTCATTTCATCACAGCTACAACATTTATTAGGGTAAGGTATTTAATATACCTCCTTATTGGTCCTTTTGTTGACTCTGGTAGACTCTAGTGTCCTCTCAGTCCTGATATTTCTGATTAACCTGCCTGAAGGTTTAACTATTTCTTCGTCTTGTCATAGAACTCAACTTTTGTTCATTTTTTTATACTTCCCTAATTTCTGTTCATCTGTTATTATATTTTTCTACTTATTTCAAAATGTAAAATGTGTTGCCTTTTTCTAGTAAGGTGAAAGCTGCTGTCATTGTTAAGATTTGTGTCTTTTTAGTCTAGGCAGTCAGTGTTACTGATGTTTTCATTGTCTTTCATATTTTCAGTTTCCGTTTCAGTTTACTCTTTAGACCATGGGTTATTTAGAAGTATATTATTTGGGGCAGGGGAAATAGCCCAGTGATTATAAATGTGGTAATTCCAACTTCACAAGACAGACACAGGATTCCCAAAGCCAGCTGGCTAGCAAGATCAGTTTGCTCAGGATTTAATTAAGATTCCTTACCTCAGTGAAATAGAGACTAGCAAAGAGGGTAAGTCTGGACATCAACCTCAGGCTTCCACATGCACACACACAAAAATAGAAGGAAAAAAAATAGCCTCCTTGGTTTCCCTGATGTTTGCTTAATCTTCTCACTCCTATATACCAAGCTCTGCATGGGTTTCTCATCTTTGCACTGGGGCATACAGATTCTTCCAAGGCTAAGCTGGAGCGATTGCAGACCTCACCTCTGTTTTCCATCTTAGTGGAGTACCTGTTATCCTCAAATATTTTTTATGTCTTTGTACCACACATTGGTTCATGTGGTATCAGTCTAGTCTTTTTCTTTGTCTTGGCTAGACGCAAAAGTCCTCTTGAGTAATTTTAATATTGAATAACTTTACAAAATTAGTTTATAGTATCTCTCTATATCAGTGTTATTTTCCTTGTTTATAAATGAACATATAAAAGTGTATTGCCATATATTTAACCATAGCCAAAATAAATATTGATGGAATTATCTTTTTTAAATTCCCATACTGGAGTCCTATCCAATCCCCAGCACTCAGCCTAAGCACCCACTCTAATGCTTCTTTCCTGTACCTTTTATAAAGTAAAATATTCATCAAAATGGAGGAAACATTTACTCTATCACGCACCATCACTAAATCTTGGAGCTGGGGATGGAACTCAGTTCCTAGGGTCCTTTCCTAACATTTCAAAGCCCAAGGTTTGATCCCCAGCACTGCAAAAAATAGGCATTGGGGGATGATGCATGCAATCCTTAGGTGGAGGTAAGAGAATCAGAAGTTCAAAGTAATCCTCCACTATATGGCAAGTTCAAGGCCAGCCTTGGATACATGAGACCCTGTATAAAAAGATAAATAAAAATTACTCATTCATTTGATAAATACATCGCCGTGCTTAAGGAATGAAAATGGTATAGATTTTGCAAGTGCTATGGTAGCCAGTGCAGTTTCATCCAGTGCTCATCTTAGCAGGCAGGAAGCCCCAAATGAGGAGTGATTCCCATCGTCAGTGATCCATGTTCCTCATATATGCTGAGCCTCAGAAGGAAGAGAGTCTAGGCACCCTAACACTGCTTCCACTTCCCGTCCTCTTCCTGTCTTCTTTAAACCTAATAGTCTCCTCTAAGTTTCATAAATGAAGAACTAGCTAAAACTTAGTGCTAAACTTTTGTCTAACCTTGTCTTTCCTATTTAAAAACCTGGTGTTTATATTTTAGGAACATAGCTACAGTGTAATGGATAGTCCAAAGAAGCTTAAGCATAAATTAGATCACGTGATCATCGAGCTAGAGAATACCAAGGAAAGTCTGCAGAATGTTTTGAACCGAGAAAAACACTTTCAAAAATCACTGAGAAAGACAATCAGAGAACTTAAGGACGAATGTCTGATCAGCCAAGAAACAGCCAATCGACTGGATGCTTTCTGTTGTGAGTGTTGTGAGAGCACAGAATGAGACTGGATTTGTGAAGTCATTTTTTATATGTTCCATCTAGAGTTGACATCGATGATGCTTCTTAGAAGACCTCACACACCATTTCTAAATCCTATAGTCACTGACAGCACTTTGGATCCAGGCAGCATTATGCATTTTCCCTGCTAACCAAAAACTTATCGAAGTTGTGCAGAAACGTGTTGTAGTTATGCTGTGTGTGACTTGTGACAATTACATTTTTACAGACATAAACTAGTGCTGGGTCACTATTGTAAAATGGCTGAATCCCAAAAAAGTAAGAAAATACATCAGGTTGGCCACATTAGTTATAGCAGTTGGAACAGAATTTTAACTTTGACTACATTATGTGTATATCCTTTATAGTAAATTGTGATTTTAATTTTAAATATTTTACTATAAAGCAGACATTGTTTACAGCACACATTTATCTTGCATCCAACCAAAGGTGCTTTAGTAATTAATTATAGATTATTTTTTAATAAGGCACTCCATAGCACTGACCCTGAGAATAGCCTATGGAAAAGATTTATTGGCTTTTAAGTTAAGAGCCAATTAGATAAGACTCCTGACAAGATGTCAGTTTTTTGGTATAGTGCATCATTCCTCCTCACAAGGACTAGTCAGAATAGCTTCAGACACCAAAGAATAAAAGCACACACATTTGACTTCAGGTGAGCAGGTGTTGCTTCACAAGAACATGACTCCCGGCTCTTCAGTCACCTCTTCCATACACAGTGCTGCCACCAGCTGAAGATTTGCAAGGCTGTCTTGTGGTTTTAAGAAGTAATAGTGCTGACACTTTTAAAACTGTAATTCATAAGGAAAGCTGTTGCAAACATGCAGATCTTGCAGTAGAAATAGAAACGGAACTGATGACTCTTCAGTGGCAGTAATTACTCAGAAATGACATGCAGAAGCGCTGTTTGGAGACTACTTACCAAGTATATAGAAGAAGAGTCCTGGCTGTTTACTGATTGAGCCCAATGTTAGGAATATTGCTTCTCCCCTGATTTCTTACTAAAAAAAAAAACTAAAATTAAGAATCTTACATACTATACATTAAAATAAAAAGTATTAGCCAAAGTCCCACCCTGTATTAAGCACAAGTCTGAATGAATCTTATCCAGAGATCTGTGCATAGTCAGAGTGTGCAACAGTTGTGTCATTGTGTTAGCAAATAATGTCCAGTTTTTGTATATTTGTTCCCTGTACCTTTGTTTCATAGTAGTACCATAAGGATATGGTCAGATAAAGATTTTTTTATTTAAGATATTGTATTTTCATTGTAGGACTTTAGCTCTTCCCTCTAAAAGAAATTTTTCCCCACACTTGAAAGATAATTGTTGTGCTAAGATTGAAATTACTGAGGTTCTTTTGTTACCCTCAATTTTTTTTTTATTGTCTGCCTGTTATTTATTTTCCCTGTTTAATTTTTTAAGTCACATCAGGTACTCTAACGAGAAATATGGGTAGAATCTAAATCCTCAGCCTGTTTGTGAGCCTGTACGCTTGAGTTGGTGACTGGGAGATGGTGAAAGGAAAAGCGCGGGTGTTTGCAGACTTCCCCTCCCCGGCTGCCTGACGGCCATATAGCAACCCCAGAAGACTGAAGAGGAAGGCTCCAGGCTCCGCCCTATTTCATTGCACAGTCACTTTGCCTGCTTGTGTCGTGGTGAAGTCAGTTTCTGTCCTCTCTTTCACTGGTCCTAGGTCACTGTGACTGGTGAGTGGGGGAAATATCAGTAAGGACCCAGAGCTTCCCATTTGCTCTTTACTCTTGGACAAATAGTTACCAGTGGAAACCAGACTTGAAATAAAGGATCCCTACCAGCTGTTGCTTAAATGCCTAAACACCGCCCCTACCTCAGTCCTCCGCCCAGAGATTGCAGCCTAGGTCTTCCAGGGAAGAACTGTGGTGTATAAAGAAAAGGTGGATCACAACCTACCCGGAAGTTTCCAGGCAGCCAAAGCTGACCTAAGGACTCTAGTTTCTAAACATGGACTGGCCTCTAGACCCTGCAATACACTTGGTTTCCAAAGAAGGTATGAAGGATTGATGTGGCATTTTCTCCATATCAAGTTTGGATTTCTGAAAATAGACTGTGTTGCTAAAGGTACCTGTATATATCTTTAATTTGAGAAAGGGTGAAAATGTATTAATTATATACTTAGTTTTTAAAATAAAATTCTGACAAATAATTGAGGAATGAAAGCTATTTATTTGAAAAATAAAAATTTTGTCTAGTAATGTGTTGTGTGTTTCATACCTTGATTCAATAAATTGGTCAGGGAAAGATAAGCATGTACATACGCAGAGGGCTTGCTTTCATCCATGTCTTCCATCAGCCCACCTTCTAACATAGTATGAACTGGCAGCTCTTCATGTTCCCAGTATGTGGGAAGAGTGGTGTTGCAGGGTGTGAAATATGCTGCCTCTGAACACAAAAGACTAGCAAGCATTGTGCTTCCCAAGTCATAACAAAACATGCAAGATACAATGGTTTGTCTTTTACTTCAGGGAGATGTACTGGCATGCCCCAAATCACAGTGTCTCCTGACTGCTAAAGATTCTTGCCCCACTGTGGTGCGCCCCTTGACCAGCAAGGAAGAAATGACCACGAGTCGAGGATTCTTCTCAAATCACACTTTATTGGAGCCTCTTGGTTGAAGGGAGAGCGGGAAGTGAGAGAGAGAGAGAGAGAGAGAGAAAGCGAGAGAGAAAGAAAGCCAAGCAGCATCTGCTTTTAAAGGTTGAAGGGACTCGAGTACTGTCCTGCTTGGTGAATACCAGTCTGCTGATGTCCGAAGCCTCGGGATTGGCTAGGGACAAGGCTCAATTGCGCATGTACAAGCAAAGGGCGCTCAGCCCCACGCAGCAATACCAAAGAAGGACTTTGTTTACCTCCAAGCTGCAGGACCGTCAGCGCCATTTTGTAATGGCGATATCCGGACGGCTACTTACACCCCACCACTTACAGCACATATAATTCATGGATGCCCTGATGAGAGTTTACTGGACAGTTATAAAAGATACATTTTTAATTATGTGTTTATGAAAAAGGGTGTGCACATGAGTACAGGTATCTATAGAATCCAGAGGAGGATGTTGGATCCCCCAAAACTGGAGTTAGAGGCAGTTATAATCTGCCTGATATAGGTGCTGGGAACCAAACCCAGGTCCTCTACAAGAGTAGTATGAGCTTTTATCCACCCTTCTTTTAAAGACATTTTAGAAGCATGTCTCGGGGCTGGAGAGATGATTCAGAAGGTAAGAGCACTAATTGTTCTTTCAGAGGTCCTGAGTTCAATTCCCAGCAGCCATACAGTGACTCACAGTCATCTATAATGAGATCTGGTGCCCTCTTCTGCCATAAACAGAGACCCTAATAATCACACAAAAACTATATTACAACACTGTTTGCTGATGGTCCAGGTGTATATCTAAGCTAGCTCTTACACCTTAAATTTACCCATTTCTATTTTATATTTTACCACAAGGCTCGTGGTTTGTTACTTCTTGCTTCTTGGGCAGCTCCATGGCACTTTCTTGACTCTGCCTACTCTCTCTATATCTGTTTGAATTTTCCACCTGGCTTTATTCTGCCCTGCCATAGGCTGAAACAGCTTCTTTGTATTCAAATGGTAATAAAACATATTTACAGCATACAAAAGGGAATCCCACATCATTCTAGCCTGCAAGCAAACATGCAGGCAGAACACTCTATACATAATAAATTTAAAAAAAAAAAAGGGGGGGGAAGAAGAAGCATGTCTTATTATGTAGCTCATTCTGGCCGAAAACATACTTGACCCTGCTGTCTCAGTCTTAGTATTAGGGTGCTGCGGGAGAATTATCTGTATTCTGTCAATCATATTTTAATAAAACACTGATTGGCCAGGCAGGAAGTATAGGTGGGTCAAACAGACAGGAGGTAGAGGTGGGGTGATGAGAACAGGAATATTCTGGAAAGCAGGAAGCTCCCTCCGCACTCCTGCGCAGACCACCGATGAGGCAGCATGTAACTTGCCCAGCTGAGAAAGGTACGGAGCCATGTGGCTAACGTAGATAAGGACAATGGGGTAACATAAGTTATAAGAGCTAATAAGTAGCTTGACCTAATGGGCCAATCAGTTTATAATCTTATGGAGTCCTGTGTGTAATTTCCTTTGGGGCTTGCGGGTTGTGGGGTACCGGGCGGGACAGAAGCTCCAACAAGCCGGCCCTTCATGTTACAAATGGCGCCCAGAGGTGGATAATTGAATCCACAGAAAGCTTGGGAAAGAATAGAGTAACGTAAAAATTGGTAGCAGCAATTTTTCGGTTCTGCTCTGCTTGCTAAAGGCAAGAAAATGCTCTCATCTAAGAGAGGCTTCCTGACTCAGCTTTAGCTGCAAAACTTTGTAGTTCCTTTAAGAGGTCCTGCCATGAAATACTTAAACGGTGTTGATGAAAAGCTGAAGGCATGCTTTTCGGTTTTCAGCCATAGCAGGAAAAAAGCTGCGCTGTTTTAAAAAGCCGGCTTTCTGGGCTGTCCTGCCAGAGCAAACTCTGACTCTTTCAGGCAGGCCGGCCAACTGAGTGTGGTCTGTGAGCAGAATGCTGCAGCTTGCTTGCTAGTAAGGACCTTGAAACGCCATAGAGTTGTGACAAGTAAAATGGCTGCAGCCGGTACCTCAGCCACGAGTCTGGAAAGCTAAGGAATGGGCTGGATCTAGCTGTCAAAGCCACGGCTTTAGTCCTACCGATATTGCTTAGTAAATTAAAGGCTCATGCAATCAGAAAAAAGAGAGATATACAGTAAAGAGAGATTCAAAGAGTAAGAAAACCTCTAAATGTTTTACAGTGTGTTAAAAATATATGCAGGCTAAAAGTTAAAGTTCTTAAAGTTAAAAAGAAAGAAAGAGAGTAGTTGGGTGTGGTGGTACACAACTTTAATCCCAATGCCTGGGAGGCAGAGGTAAATTGAACTCTGAGACTTTAAGGGGCAGAGGTAGTTGACCTCTGTGACTTCAAGGTGTGGTAGTACACGCCTTTAATTTCAATGCCTGGGAGGCAGAGACAGACAGATCTCTGAGTTCAAGGTGTGGTAGCACACACCTTTAATCCTAGTACTGGGGAGGCAGAGACAGGAGGATCTCTGTGAGTTCAAGGACAGCCTGGTCTACAGAGTTATTCCAGGACAAAGATATACAGAGAACCTGTCTCAAAAAGTAAAAGTAAAAATAAAAGAAATAGAAGTTAAAATAAAGCCGCATAAAGATGGAAAATACACAGAGAATCTTGATACTGTATGCTATTATGCTCTCTTTTAATTGTTTGAATGCTGAGGAAGGAGCAACAGCTGCTAAAAGACTTTTATTTATAAATGCTGCTGAACTAACCCAATATAGATATTTTGAAAATACCTTGGCTTCAAAACTGAAGTCAAAAGGGATGCTACTTTGGAGAAGAGATTCTGCTTTTGTTTCCACAGAAAACGAGAGGCTCTGGATTTATTCAGAGTTAAGAAAAATCACCTTTGACCAAGGGAGGCCACCTGAAAAATCTCCGACAGGAATAGATGGCCCAGATGTCTGAGTTCTACATCCAGAACAGATTCAAAATGCTGCCTGAGATGATCAAGACTCACAGGATACTCTAATCAGGACATGAATATAACTCTAAATTTTCTTTAGGTCCCCATAAGATTATCAGCGCCCCCAACCAGCAGAAAGTAGCCTGAAATACTACGCCCACATTCCCAACAAATGGACTATAGGTATTTTCCTTTGTTTAAAAAAAAAAGAGGGAAATGGTGCAGGAGAATTATCTGTATTCTGTCAATCATATTTTAATAAAACACTGATTGGCCAGGCAGGAAGTATAGGTGGGTCAAACAGACAGGAGGTAGAGGTGGGGTGATGAGAACAGGAATATTCTGGAAAGCAGGAAGCTCCCTCCGCACTCCTGCGCAGACCACTGAAGAGGCAGCATGTAACTTGCCCAGCTGAGAAAGGTATGGAGCCATGTGGCTAATGTAGATAAGGACAATGGGGTAACATAAGTTATAAGAGCTAATAAGTAGCTTGACCTAATGGGCCAATCAGTTTATAATCTTATGGAGTCCTGTGTGTAATTTCCTTTGGGGTTTGCGGGCTGTGGGGTACCGGGCGGGACAGAAGCTCCAACAAGCTGGCCCCTCATGTTACCCTAGGGTCACAGGCATTCACTAGAATTGTAACATCCAATTCTGTGTTACCCTCTTGGTACAGTTCACATGCCACTGTACCATATGCGAGTCCAGCAAGGGCTGGAGATTGAAAGAACACACAAGAGACCTAGGTTATTCGAAAGGAGATCAGCCAAATGCCGTTTATTCAACCTTGGGGAAATACTTATGTACCTCGCTGCTGCGCAAGGATTTCTGCCCAGGCAGGTGAGAAATTACCACACCAAAGATGGAGTAAACAATGCCCTACAGCTAATCACCAGGCGGGGCAGAGGGAGCACAGGAACAAACAGAATGTTTTAGCTGGCTGACCAGAAACTGTCCTCAAGATGCACCCCAGGAGCAGGGGCAGACCCGGGCCCTTCATAGCATGTTAAGTTTATAAATGTTTATCTCATTGGATTAAACTCAACCATATTTTCAATTATGTGATTTTGTTTAGGATGTCTGTGTAATATAGATCTCTTCATTATAACAAAAGCAATAGTATCAATAGCCTTGGGTCAAGACTATATTACTGTTCGTTGCATATGAATATTTCTGATCCTTAATGAGGTTGGAAAAGCATGCATCAATCAAATAGTTGCGTAGCACATAGCTGTATAATTACCTCTAACAAAGATAAAATATTCAATACTTCAGCTCCTCACAAGGTTACTTCTTGACTTAATTTGCCTTAATCTGCTCTTATCCTGCAGAACAGGTCAAAATTTTCCAGGGGTCAGAGTGATGGATTAAATGGAGATATGATGAGAGTCAGAGTGATTTATACTGAATACCTCCCTGTTTTCTGGGGATCTGAAGTGTGGGACTATATTAGGCAGAGTGCCTTTGTGACTAGTCTGCACTAAAACCTTGGCTATTTGAATGCACTTCCTTGCTCTGCAGTATTTTCTCCATTATTGTCACAGTTTGATTCCACTGGAATTGTGGGTCATGCATTACCACACTGAGGAAGGACTCTTGCAAGTGTCTGATTTCTCCCAAGTTCATGTCATGTGCATTTTCTCCTTGCTGATCTTGGGTTTGTTTCTTTTCC